AGATACCATGTGAGCCTGGTTTCAGCTTGTAGACCTCACTGATGTGTCTTTAACACGGCTTTTATTTTGGAACCTTAAAGAAAAACATAGAAATATTTCCTCCAATAGGTCAGTTTCAGGGAAGAAAGTCAAATTCATTTGACAAAGACATCCCACCAAAGTGATGTACAGGCTTGGCAGAGAAAGCATGTAAGCCATGGTCTGTCTGGTTTGGCTAACATAGTTCCTAAAAACTCAGAAATGTATGGTTTGCCTTGTTTTTTAATAATGTTTGTCGTAATGGAAAAAGTACTTTTTCTACCAAAGTTTGAGCAAGCATAGTGCTAAGTGAAATATGTTGCCTAAGTTGCTGCGATCGAGGGTATTTTTCTAGCAGTCAATAAAAGTTAAATTGCTAATCTTTTTAGTTATCGGGCGTTATATGCATACAGTCCGAAGAACTCTGATGAATTGGAACTGCAGGAAAATGATATTGTTTTTGTTGTTGAGAAATGTGACGACGGATGGTTTATTGGTGAGTTTAGAAGCACTGCTGCATACATGTTTTAGGAGTGAGCTATTCTTTGTCGCAGTTTTTTTAGAACAACATTAGAGCTTAAGGCTTTTTACCATCAGATTACTTGAGCAAACAAAGTGAACTGTAGTAAAACAGCTTTTGTTTTCACATATCCTTTCAGTCTCTGTGGGGTCTTTTCGTTTTACGCTTTTCTACACTGTCCTTGTCTATACCTCGATAAATCACAAACTTTGTCTCGACTTTGTCTTATTTACGAGCTCGTTTGTCAATTGACATTTATAGATTGCTTGCCTTTTTCTTTCATTTCTTTGCCGGAGAGGAGGGTTTCTCATCATTCTTTTTGACGTCAGAAGAAGGGAAAGGTCAAAGACTGAAAAATAAAAAAAGGAGATGAGATAGCTCTTCATGTCGTTCTTGAAAAGGAAAGTTTAGAATTGCCTTGTTGGAAGCCAGGAAGTTATGAGTAATAAGAAGGGAAAAACGTTTTGGATAAATATTGCCAATAGGTAAGAGCAAAAAATTCTGACATGTCGCGGTTCATTGAAATCGTTTTTTTTTTTTTTTTTTTTTTTTTTTTTTTTTT